GGAGTAATAATAGTAGATGCAGGCAGGAGTTGGTCTACTTGTCACGGACGTGATGCCTATATACATGATCATGCCTAGATAATCTCATAATTATTCGCTTTTCTATAAATTGCTCGACAGTACTTTTTCACCCACCGTAATACCTATGCTATCTTAAGAGAAGCCACTAGTGAAACTATGGCCCCCGGGTCTATCTCTTATCATATAAGCTTTCAATCTACTTTTATTTGCATCTTTACTTTTCCTATCTATATTATAAAATACCAAAAATATATTTATCTTATCATATTATCTCTATCAGATCTCACTTCCGCAAGTGGCCGTGAAGGGATTGACAAACCCTTTATTGTGTTGGTTGCGAGTTCTTTGTTTGTTAGTGTAGGTGTGTGGGACTTTTGAGGAGCCTCCTGCTGGATTGATACCTTGGTTCTCAAAAACTGAGGGAAATACTTACGCTACTATTGCTGCATCACCCTTTCCTCTTCAAGGAAAACCAACGCAAGCTCAAGACGTAGCAGATATCGTCGCTAATGATCGGGGCGATGGTGCCCGGTTATAACAATCTTGGAGATTACCTGCCCGACGATGTACATTATGATTTCTTGGAGGTGGACGAACACAAATACGTGTACTGGAAGCCTCTCGTCAAAGATGAAAGATCTCTAACAACGATGATGCGAAGATTCCATAATTGGTACATGAAAACCTGCAGAGAGTCGGAGAGGGGGAATATTTTGACGCTGAGAGTTAGAGAGGAGCATGACCTCATTGGAATTGAACTGCCGAATGCTCCATTTGAGGAGTTCTTCGCATTTTTCAATCTAAAGGCCCTCGATAAATTAATGATCACTTACTACTGCTTGTAAGTAGTACTACTTCTATCATTAAGTCTCTATATATAGGTCAGCTCTTTCATTGCATGTATTTTTAATTATCCTCACTATATTATGCAGATTGAAGATCGCCGAATTCAAGAAAAGACAAATCGGTGATATTGGGTTCATTAACACAAATCTCATAGATGAATATATGGTTGAATCTCAGGCCAAAGATACCGAGGCCAAGCTACTACAATCATTTGTATTAAATCAAAACAAAGCTATAATACTCTTCCCTTACGAATTCAAGTGAGTGTTACTGTCTTGTGCATATTCGGTTTCCCTTATTAGTCGAGGTTATAGTAATGTAATTGATGAGTTATGCATGCGTGCGCAGGTTCCACTATATTATCCTAGAGATTAAGTTTGAGCAGGGACTAGTAACCGTCTTAGACTCAAGATGAAAAGATCCCAAGGAGTATGCGGACATGACTGAAATTCTAGAGAAGTTAAATCGATCATTATCGCACCATATCGGCAGCTTTGTTTATTTCCTCATATCAAGTAACTGTTTTCTTTGTCTGGCAGGGTTTGGAAAAAATTCACCTCAAAAACTCCGGGACTGCCGAAGAAGCTGCAATTTAGACACCCGAAAGTAAGTACTATAGTAGCATGTTCCGTTCATCTCCTAGTGATTCAAGCGCTAGTTTCATCAATACCATTTAGCGTGCTTGCTAATTATCAGTTTGATTGACCTCTATTTCTTGTAAAGTGGTTATGGCAGGAACAAGGGAATGATTACTGTGGATACTACATTTGCAAGTCCATCCTCCACACGACCTGTGAGTGGGGCTACTCTGACAAACAATATGAAGTGCGTAAATAATAATATTCACAATTTTATTTTATTGCCATCATTAATTTTGAGTTTCATTTATTCATATATATGTATTGACCCCCTTATTCAAATTAGATATTTCAGATGCGGGATGAACTCCTACCACCGGATCGTATGCGAGCAATTCAAGAGGAACTGGCGGCATTCTTTCTTGACCACGTGATCGCTAAAGACGGAGAATACCATGTGGACCCTGAGTTCATTTGGAATTAGGAGATTATATTGTAAGAGATAATTATATTGTATATATGTGGCCAGTAGCGTCGGATAGATATACGAGAACTTGTTATTTGACCAATCTCTCAAACAAGGAGAGGTGGTCGATATCACTTCTCTCTGTATGCATATGTTCATGACGATCTTCTGTTTCCTTCATTTGCTTACTAGCTACCGTGTCTAGTCCTCTCTATATGTATAGTACGTAGTGTCGACCAAGCACGGAGATAAGAGAGGACGCTTCTCTCTCTATTAATTAGCTAGCT